TCCCCCTCCTCCTCCCCTGGGGAGCCCCCCGGCAGGACTCGGCTCTTCCTGCCCAGAGCCCGGGCCCTCTGCAGGGACAGGGCCAGCGCTGGCAAGAGCCAACAGCGCCAAAGCCCTGCTCCTGCCTGGAGCGCAGAGCAGCAGCCGCAGCCCACAAGCCCTCTGGCCGTCCCCCCTTCCCGTCCCTTCCCATCACCACACTTGGACCCATCCTCTGCCCACTCCCCTCCTGCAGCCCCGGGGCCAGGCCGGGAGCACAGCCCTGCCTCCAGTGCTGGCACCAGCCGCAGCCTCACCCCCTTGCCAGCTCCCTCCTGCCCCTCGGGGCCGGCGCTGCCCCCCAGAGACTCCAGTGGGGCCTTCAACTGCTCGGGAACAAGACTCAACCCTGCCCGAGGCAGGAGCCAGGGTCAGAGCTCCGTGTGCCCCAGCCACACATCCCCATCACAACCCAAAGGCAAAGGCCCAGCTCCATTATCCTGTACTGAGGTCAAAACAAGAGGAAAACAAAAGAGGAAGAAGGGAAAAGCAGCTTCCAGTCATATTCTCATTTATTAAGGTCTATGCCAGCCTCAGGAGAGAGCTCTTCCGGTAAGTAAACAGAGCAGGCGGCCGCATCTATAATGAATAAATTTATTGTCTTACAAAAATCATTGTCTAGAAATATGAGTATACAAGAAAACAATATATTTGCAGTCAGATGCCTGGTGGTCAACAGCCAGTTCGATTAAAAATATCCAAACACACACAACAAAACCTTTGCGACGGATGTTAAAGCTTTTAACCAAAAAGGAAATCCACGTCGTTTGAGCATGTGGCAGAGGAAGGTTCCTAGTTAACACTGATTCATTGTCACTAATATCCATAATACCACTTGGACTACAGAGGTACATGATATGAAGCACAGTCAAAATTAATACATTAAATCATTGTTATAGAGGCAAATTATATATGTAACATTGTCTTAGTACTGTAGTGTCTAAGGCACTTTCTGTAATGTCAGTTTCCAGCTATTTAAACAAAAGAACGCTAAACTACTGCTGTAATACTGCTCAAAACAAGAAATAAAACAACAAAAGAGGATTCACGTCCACTGGCATGTTACCTGCAGGTGGCAGCACCCGCGGCCCCGGAGCAGCTGCTCGGCCCGGACCCGCTCTCTGGGCCATAAGTTAATAAATTAGCTGTGCCCGCGGCGTTCCTGGTGTTCACATTGTCTGAGCTGTCCCGTGGCCAGGGCCGCGCCGAGCACGGGGCTGTGCGCGCTGCCTGGGCTGGCCTGTGCTGCGCTGCCGGGGCAGTGCTGAGAACACTTCCCACTGACGCTGCAGGGTAAAACTGGACACTACTCGTTCATCCCTACGCTTCCCGAGGCCTTTTCACAGTTCACGCTGATTGTGTGTGACTGATCACAACAATTAGGAGAAAAAGAAAGAAACAGGTGAGGTTTGGTCTTCAACAATCCAAAAGGCTCAGTGTGCCCAAGGGCTGCCCGAGCACAGGAGGAGGGGAGGGATGTTGTCTGTACAAAGCATGCATCGTTGTGACACTAGGTCTGTCCCAACCACCCACCCACTGGGAATGAAGTTTCTGTGTTGATTAAAAAACAAAAAAGAGTTTCATCCTTCACATGATGCTTTATAAAATGGCTTTACAATGAGTATCTGGAAAATAGATGCACTGAACAGAGACGATCCCATTTCATTTGCTATATATAAAAAAGCAGTTGTACCTACATCTGAAGCAGGGTACAGTATGGTGAGGCTGGAGAGCCTTAAGACATAGTTGACCTACAATACGTAACCTTGTAGTAGCATGCCGGCGTTCCGTAAGGCAGGTTGAGGGCCACGTGGCAGCCCTGGTGCTCAGGAGAGTCCTTGTGCTCCTGTGCCCGCTGCGGGAAGGTCTCTGCATGCCCAGGGACAGGCTCTACTCGGCCGAGGCCACCTGCGCCTCGTTCACGTCACTGCCTTTGCTCTCCGCGTCGTCATCCGAGAGCTCCAGAGAGGCCCCTTCGATGTGGAGCTGCCGCCGCCCAGATCGGCTTGAGGAGAAGGTGATGGGTCCCCCCCTCCTGCAAACAGGCAGCACTCAGTGAGCACCGACGGGCCCCGTCCAGCCCCTGAAACCTCCCTCTGCCCAATGGCTCGCACTGTGCTCCAACACGCTCCCAACCCTCCCACTTCGGTTCTACCATCACCTCAGTTGTGCAAGGACCAAGTAGCTTCAAGTGTTTTCACCAAGCCCAGACCGAGCACGACACAGAGTGGGTGTCCTCAGTGAACATCAGCTGCTCGTTGTGCAGTGCTCTGCCCCCTGAGATGGTTTTTGTTCAGCAGCGGCCTCACTGCTGCTGCCTCCCATCTGTACCTGATACAGAACTCGATCCCAAAGATGCTGAAACGCTCCCACCAGGGTGGCTCAGGACAACAGGGACAGGAACCAGCCGCTGGCAAAGCACGGCCGAGCCATCTCCTCTGTCATGTTTCTCTAAGGCTGGATTGAACTGTCAACCCCAGGGAACCTGCCAGTGTGAGCCCCGAAGAGCTCTGGCACAGCAGTTGTCTGTGGTCCAGCAGCTCCCTTGTTCCCATCACCGGGCTTGGTCAGCAGCTCCCAACAGGCTCCAGTTTCCCTGCTTCCATCCCCAGCTCTGCTGCTGCTGTTCAACAACCAGGTGCTCCCCAAGGACACAGAGAGTCTGTGGGCACCCGAGGGCTTGGACAAAGCACCTACCGTAGCCTGTTCTTGAGGGTGCTGACCTCCCGGCTCAGGCCCTCATTGGCCTCTGTGGCATCATCCAGCTCACGCTGAAGCTTACGCCGGGAAGCGTTTGCACGTGTAGCCTCTTCCTCAGCCTCCTCCAGCTGGCGCTTGAGCTGCTTCATTCTGGCATTTGCCTTCTCCATCTGAAACACAGACCCACGGACTCGGGATCAGACTGGAATCTGCGGCCCATGACTGGGGGTGAAACAGCACCTGCCCTCCTGGCCATGCTGGCTGGAGATGGACAATGGGCCTCACCACAGGCTCCTGGGCACACTGCAGAGCTCCAAGGTCTGGGAGACCAGGAGCCAAACAGCCCATTACACAGGGCCCACGTGGGGAGGTCTGGGCTGCTGGGAACTACTGCTCCAGTAGGGACAGGACAAGGGGAATGGCTTTAACCTGCCAGAGGGGAGATTGAGATGAGCTCTGAGGCAGAAGCTCTTCCCTGTGAGGGTGCTGAGGTGCTGGCACAGGGGGCCCAGAGAAGCTGTGGCTGC